ACCCCATGATCAACGGACAGTTAGATGTCGACGATTCTTAGAAGTTTTTTGCTCTACATATTTGTTACTGATAGACCAAATACCATAACTACATTCAGTGTCGAGCGTAATAGCCAACGCCATTCGATTGCAAAATGCGCCTTCAACTAAAATTTCCACCAAAAACATGCTGTCTTCTGGTTACTACTCGCTCGCATTCCCTACCAACTTCAAAAAATACTAAGCATTATAATGTTGAGTAGCAAATTGCAAAAATAAAGAGGATATTTCACAAAAGCTATTTTACTCTCCAATGGCAGCTCTTGCTGCAACACATGAACCTCTGCTAACTCCTTAGTGACAACATCATAAGGAAAAGCAGACACAGCAGCAAAAAATTAATTCCCAATGAACAAAATAGACTTCTACAAGTGAAAATATAATAACTATAATATTGCAATATCATATTGCAAAAACCATATAATACCAAATTGCAAAAAAATACAGAGACAAAATTGTACTCGGAAACATACCTCGCTCGTGGTCCGATCAAGTCCTTCTGTGACTTCTCGTTGAGCAGCCGTATCCATCAGACCAAACTGCTCACAAAGATCACCGTCAATCACATTCTGCAATAAGGTTTCCCTTTCATCACACTCCAAAAGACCCTAATGCGGGAAGAAAAACGGTTTCATCAAAATCTTTTTTTCGTTCCTATTTTGAATTTCATACCACTTGAATAAACAAATTAAATTCCTTGCAAATTCTGTAATACAATATTAAAATCCCAGAAAGTTCAAAACCCCGAGAAGAAAGGAGTGGAGCATCAAGAAATCCCTGATAGTGGTAAGACCGGCGAAATGAGTGAAATATACCTTTGCATTATCTTGGCTGTCGCAATTAATTACTCTTTCATGTTTTTCAAGTATTAGTTATCAACATATCATGATTAAAAAAATAAACAGTAAACAAAAAAAACTTAACAAACCTTGCATGGGTGATAGTATGACCTGAAAGCCAAATGATCACGGCCACATAACGGTGGGAAGTTGGCTCGAACGTGCATTTCAAGATTTTGGAAGAAATCGTACTCCTAAAAAAGCTAAATTCAATGATAAACTTCCCAACAGATTCGCCAGGCGCGCGTGTTGCATCTAATGAGCGGGGAGCAAGAAAGGTGCTCAGCAGAAGCTCCTTTTCTGCTTCATTAGGTACAGCACTCCAGGAAATCTATTTATATATCCGGTTCCCCTTTTTTGCTCTGCTGCGTCACATAACATGATTATCAAGTCATACGCGCGTTCAACCTCGAATTGGCAGCTAAAATTGAAGCGCAGGCGAATTACTATTACTTTTTCTCTTCACGCTCATGTTTCTCTGTCAGTACGATGATAACGTTCCCAATGAGTGAACCAAATTAGACGCTATTCTTTATTATGTATAGCATACGCCACACCAAAAAAGTGCTTGCTAATTAAAAATTCCCATGGTTTTGTTAGGTTTGCTTCTTCGTCTCACAGTGTCTTCATAACGAGATACCGATTACTCTCATTTAAGCAATGAAAAACAAATTTTTCAAAGATAAAGAAAATTTCGAAACCCTAATAATCCACAAAAAGAGTTATTTGAGAAGGGCTAAGCAAGGAGTTTTTTATTTTTTGCATGAGGCTGTCGCTAAGTTTTTATCCGTGAGACAAAAATTCCCCAATTGTTAACAGAGAAAGTATTCTAGCGTTTGTGGGCCTCTCACACACTTACAATTTATCAAACGGTCTTGCTCGATACAGCACGGTTTTTTAAGGGAGATTACTAAAGCTAACTGCTTGGTGAGCTTGAATGAATCATGGTGGGTCAACTTTTGATCCGTGGTACCGATCTGCTGGCTGCCAAAAAGGTGGCAGAATGTTATTGATTTTAATGAATATGTTTTGATTAGGGTACTTGATTAATAATGAATGTATGCATCCGTTTAATAACATTTTTTATTCAAATCGATTTTCTATTTCCTTGACAGAACTTTGGCAACAGCCTCATAAGTTCCGCTTTGCGCATGACCTTAGACGGAAGTTACTGTCAAAATTCGCCCTTGTTCCATCGCTAAGAATTTTACGCAGAAATTTTCTTCAGATTTTTTATCTCTGGGCAATAATACACCAACTATAAAAAATGGAGATAATCGAGACAAGCTTATCTGGCTTTCTTTGTTTTCCCCTACAGATAGTTTATTTCCTTATTCACTGATTGGAACCAACCAGTGGTACTGAACCATATAGCAGTAACAAGAAGCTCACGCTTGATTGGTTAGAGTATGCACCTGATTAGAGTCGAGTACTCACCTAATATAATAGTTCCTATTTGTATTCACAGAAGCGATGATAAACACTTCAATTGGATGCAATAACAATGGCCAGACACTAACAGTTTTACTTCCTTCAAGTTACTTCCTGTTTGAATAAAAAAGAAATTCTATTGTTGCATGCTTCACAGGGAGATACCTGTGATCAAAGCCCCAGTCCCAGCAGGGTTCTTTCGTTCGACACTAATGGTGTGGAACGATGCGCTAGCCCTAGTCAAGAGGGTCTCAGGACATCTGTCAACCGTGAGCCTTGGCGGTTCAGCGTTTTGTAGTGATGTCTGGGAGCTCTCACAAGTGCACACTATCACAGCATCTCCTCTTTCTTTATCTTCTTCAAAAGGCTTAGTCCCAATAAGACACAAAGTGTGTGCTTTTCCAGCTACGCTCTCATTTGGTTGACAGAAGCCTTGTAACCAGTCAAAAGCACATGAAATGTCACAAAACAAAAGCTCACTTGGGAAAGTTGCTAGAAAGGGAGTTGAGCGCCTTCGAAGGGGGCGTAGCGTCCAATTGGTCACAACCCTCACTTGCCAGCTGTGGATATCGGTCGACGGAACTTGAACTCAGCCCTTTAAACCGCCTCTGCGCTCTCTCGCGGGTCCCTCTAGTCCTAGGGCATTCACCCGTTCTCTAATCGTCTGTGCTCTAGCCATCGCGGCAGGACCATTGAGGAAAAATCAAGTAGTCCGTAAACCGCTGTGGATATCGCGTGCTCCGATGCGGGTCCTTGCGCGATTGCGTGTAACTGTGCCGCGCTTCAAAACTAATGCTGCCTCACTCACCCACTAGTATTTCTAAAAATGCCCACCCCTAGCGTAGCAGTTCATCCTATGTTGCAACCAGTGCCGCATTTCCGTGTGTAGACGCCGGGGCAGAAATTTCTAAGCATGCAGGATCCAATATTCTTTATCCGAGTTTTTTACCACCTCATTTTCACACATTTCGTACCAGTGCTTTTTGAAAGGACAAGAACTCCTATTTCAAGATCGGCGCGAAGTCATCAATGCCAAATAGGCATTGAAAGAAGGATACCAAATGGTAGCAAGCGCGGCACCTGCCACAGGGAGTTGTGGGAGTTCTTGTCTATCCCTACTGAGCTATGCCAGCAGCGCTATCCTATTCCCATCTCTATTCATCAGCTTATTCATCAGCTTATTCTTTGCAAGC